ATCTTGCAGCCAACCGCCAAGCATGGATAGCGACCATCAGAGACATTCATGGAGCCGGCTTATCCTTTCCAAGGTGAGCGACAGATCGTTGTAAAACACCCACGAAGGTCTTCATTTGGAACAACGCAGAAGGCTAGGGATTTAGTAATCCTAGTGATAAAAGATAACAAGTGGACCGAACAGTGTGTAGCGGCGCACCGCACCTGTGGAGTGCTCTTTAGACTGGGGTCATCCTTGTCATGCGGAAAACCGGAGTCTTTCTTATCTATGCAAAAGACAAATGTTCAAGCCTAGGCTCCTTTCTTCAACTAGGATGCCGCTTGCTTCGAAGGGATCCAAAGGTTAGTTACAAGAATGATCAAAGGACAGTGGGAAATCGTATAGGCAGAGAATGCAGGATCTCGGATTCTTCTCCTTGGAAAGAAGACTTCTCCGTTTTACTAAAGACTTTGTTCAATTCAGTTCTAGGACCGTGACGGAAATTGCCAGTGTTCGAATTCTTGCACTGGTGAGCTCCTTGAACACGGCGGTGCTGTGACAATAGACGTCAACGCATGATTCAAAACCGAACTGAGAATCGGCAACATTGGGCTTGTCCGCGCATTTGTTCAGGCTGTATTCCGCTGCTCAGTCGAGCTGGGCATATTACAAATGTGCATTTTCGGACCTAATTCAGTAAAATAATGAAATAAAAATTCGTGTGATTTTCATTCTGTCCATGGGCGACACCAAGTACATTCACTGTGATCGCACTTCGTCTCTCTTTATCCGAAACGGTTGTCTCAAAGCAAGGAAACAACATATGAAAGCGAAGATATTCAGAAAATAAGTTTTTCATCAAATGCTATCAAAAGTGAGCTACATGGACTGAACGGAACCTGCACTCACACAATCCTGTACAGTAAAACCTGCTGGGAGACCTGGAATATTATCGAGCAGTTGAATAGGCAATCCCCAGTCTTGTTTCGTACAGCAATAGAGGTCGAGGAGCCAAATAGGACGTTTAATAAAGGAAATAGTAACAGAGAGAAACGGGACCGTTCATGAACAGCACAAACACCTACCTCTGCGTTACAGAACCATTTGCTGTTCAACAAAAGGATGTTCTGAAACAGTTGTTGATCCTCCCAATCAACGAATCACCTAGTTTTGATAGAATCGAAGCTACCATCCTTAAGGAGCTTGGTCACGCTTTTTCATCAGTGCTTGGAAAACGGTATAATAGCTGATCGTTAGGAATCTTTCTCCATCACCCCGATGCCTCAAAGAGGAACCTCGAAATTTTGTCCCACTGCATGTACGTGTTCTGTTTAAGCTTTTCGAGAAGTTATTTCTTCAAGTAATGTCATCGCAACCTTGTATGCGGGACCCCAACCAGTTAATGTACCGACATTATCGTTTCAAACTGGATACCCTCGGTTCTCTGGTTCACTACATTCTGTCGGCGTTCGATGAAAATAAAGCTACCAGATTACGCTTCTTGGGTTATAGCGACACCTAAAAATTGTGTCGACAGGTTTAAGTTTATAAACATTTTGTCTTCCAGCGGGATATCACATACCATAACTCCAGTACTGTTCCATGTATCGTTCACAGTTCACACGTTAGCTTAGACGTTCCTCCTCGCCCTTAATCTCTGTACTGGGCTTAATACAGGGGGCCATCCTGTCCCGAATTTTTCTTTTGTACTTCATCTGTGCCAGATTCCCCTGTCTGTCAAATGTGCAAACGGTGTTGTGTTCTAAATTCCCCATTCTGGTACTTCTGTCCCTTCTACCGTTCAACTTGGCCTTTTTAACCTTGCTGATTGGTCAAAAATACAATATAACTCTCAAATCTGTTAGGCGAGAAAGAAAATCGAGAACAGGATAGCATCCCGTAATGTGGTTTGAAACAAGACCCAGACTATATAAAACTGAGTGGAAATCTGTGTTCAGTAAAACATAAACAGTTGGCTAAAAGAGAGTTCTATCACAGTCCGAGTTACAGTCGATTCCGAAGAAAATACGAACAAAAAATGTCAGCTTGAATTGCTCCTTCCCCACAACACTGTGTGCATTGAGCGAACTCGCTCACCTTTGAATCGTGGTAGCCGTAGATCTCGAAATCGATGTACTATTATTTTTGTTACTAAAATCCTGTGAACGCCTCCAAATTCCGTATGGTTCATCACGTTGCTAAGCTTGTTCAGTGTAGGTCTTATCTGATTCACCACTAACAATACCAAGCTGAAAATGCCAGGTATTATAAGAATACACAGTAGCACCCCATGAATGTAGGTTCCATTTATTCTACAGTTCATCACAATGGTAGATCAAAGGTCAGAAGAACTAAACCGCATCGAGAGTTTCAGTCATTTGATGAACGCAGTCAATTTCTGCAATAGAAAAAGACCACATATGAATGTATATAATATACATAACAGGAAGTAATGAAGCACACAAAAATGTGTAATTAAAACTATTCTTGTTCCCAGCTCTGGGTTCAATCCGTGTAACTGAATTCAAAGACCAACACCTCAGTGATTTATTCCCCAAACCACATATATACAAACAATTGCTTTGTTGTTTATTTTCCAGATTTATGATGCCCACGGGTCAATATTTTTGGGCTGAAGGTGATCTGTGTATCTATAAATCTCCACAGACTGAACAGTTTTATCTCGGATTTGTCAAGAAGGTTGATCCAGTCACAAAACTCTGCACAATACAGTCACCGTTGATCAAGACTGAGTCGCAGGTGAATTCTGAAGACTTATCCACTCCCACGTTGAAGGAAAAGGCAAAAATTATCCAGTCTCCATTGAACAAATCTGCCGTTCTTGTATGTTATTTGTGTTTGTTCATCAATTTCAATTCATTTGGTTGCAGTTGGCGGATGGTAACTTTTTCTCACGAAAATTGCAAAAAATTATCGGTCCTAAACGAGATACAGTAAGTCCAATTGATGAAAACGAATGCCAACCGCATGTTTTCACTTCAATGTGGTTCTTCTTGCAAGAAGGTCTATTGTGCATGTTGTCATTCTCATCCGACCGAGTTACATGAATGGTGAATCATTCCAAAGTATTTTCGGTGTATATATGACCTAAACGAAAGAAATCACGAAGAGGTCCCGATATATACTCTGTTTGTACCAAGAATCAAGATTCATAATTAAATAAAGAAGGAACACTTTTTTACTAAGGGGAATCCCCCGGTTCCATAAACTATACTCAATGGCTTCCGAAATCGAAAGGCTTCGCACACCCATATAAGTGACCAAACCATAACGGAGGTGACTGTAACACAAAGCGGTTAGAAAGTTCGTAAATTATTCATAGGAAACTGATTTTTCTTGTCAGGTGTGTTATAAAATTTAAAACGAATTAGAGCAAATGTTCTAAACAACTAAAGCCTCATATTGCACACACACGGAACAGGAAGATTTCAGATGGTGAGAACTCCCGAGAAATGCAGAATGATCCTTGACCGAAAGATAGATTTTGTTCAAGAAAGCACCCAACTTTGTAGTCCGTATTCGTTAGTAAGTATAAAACTTTGATCAAACTAGATAACGGATCATCTCCGAAAGGTTATGATTTGTAAAAGCTCCAAATTTCTTTCTTGTAGCCATTATAGCACACATGAAGAGAAGTCTCTCAAAGTTTTAGCCAACAGAACATCATCATCGTAAAGCAAAATACCATAAAGTCGGCTACATCTATCGTTTCCAAACTAGTAACACAAGCGCATCGTATCCGGAGGTGTGACGAGTTACTTTCAATTTGTGCTTCTGAAGATGTTACATTTTACATAGTCTCGGGTTCACATATAATCACCAATCAGTGGTTTTCGGGAATGAGATAGGATCAAATTTAGTCCTCGACAGACAATGCTCGGACAGACACGGTTTTGATAATTCCATCTCCGAACAATATGGTTCACGTTCAAATGAATGAGATCTTTTGTGATGACTCATGAAGCTTCGAGAACATCTTACGGTGCCCTCATTACATTTTGGCTAGTTCGTTGTATCCACTGAAAATAAACGATTTCCAGTTTCCTTACGTGAAATGCTTTTCTTTTTATAAAGATTACTGTACCATAGAAATGTTTGTGATAACCAACAAAGAGCACTGGTCAGCCGTTTCGTCCTGTTTGGGACTCGTCAGCAGTGCGTACTTTTTACGTCCCTGTCA